CTGCAGGTCACAGCACAGAGGCGGTGTCAATGGGGGGGGGGAGCCCTGCAGGTCACAGCACAGAGCCGGTGTCAATGGGGGGCGGGGGAGCTCTGCAGGTCACAGCGCAGAGCCGGTGTCAAGGGTGGGGGAGCCCTGCAGGTCACAGCGCAGAGCCGGTGTCTGAGGGGGAGAGCCCTGCAGGTCACAGCGCACAGAAACCCCGACGGGGGGGGAGCGTCTGCAAAGTGGCTCTACAGCGCCTACAGCTCCCAGCATGCAACGCTCCACGCGGCGCCGCGTGTCCGGCCGCGCTGCACGCTGGGGGCTGTAGTGTCTCGCGGAGGGGCGCTCGGCGGGTCCCCAGTTGCGGGAAGTGGCTGCTGTCTCTTCGCCGCTCGCTCGGGGCACGGCGGGCTGGGGCGCCGCGCGCGGGACGTGGGGGACGCGGGGCTCGCGCTCTCCGGCGCCGCGGGGAGCCCGGCCCGGCCAGGCCGGGGGCGGCTGCGCAGTGCGGCGCCGGACTGGAGGCAGTTAACCGTCGCGGCGTCCGGTCAGTTCCGTGTTTACACGCCCACCCCGGGGAGTGAGAGCGGAGCGCAGCGCGAGGCGCAGCAGGGAGCTTCTCCCCAGCGTAGTAACAGCTCTCCGGCCTCTCCGAACGGGGGGTCCCTCGGGCCCCCCAGCAGGGAACCTCTCCCCTCCCCCCTCCTCAGACATACAGTAGCGGGGGGTGCTGCCCCCATCCCCGCAGAAGAGCTCTCCAGCCCCCTCCCCCACCGAACAGGGGTCTCTCCTGCCCCCCTCAGCAGGGGGGTGCTGCTCCCTTCCCCCAGCACATCTCCAGCTCCCCTCCCCCACTTAACAGGGGCGCTCTTCCCCCCATCCCCCCACGGCAGGGGGTGCACCCCCCCTTTGCCCCCCAAGCATCAGGGAGTCTCTGATCCCCCATCTCAGCCGTCAGGGAGTGTCTCCCCCTGCGGGATGTTCTCCAGAAGGAGCCATGCCGATGTCAAGAAATCTACACAGAAAGCTCTGGACCCGAAGAAGGACGTCCTGACCCGCCTCAAGCACCTCAAAGCGCTGCTGGGTGAGTCGGGGTGGGGAGGCAACAGACAGGGTGCAGACCTTGGGGGCTTTAAACTAAAGGATTCTGTGTGGGGTGTGAGGAGCTGTCAGTTGGCCTCTCCACTGGATTATTCCTCCCCACTGCAGGACTTTGTCCTACTGGGTGCTGAATATTGTATCCTGAGAGCAGGCACCAATAAAAGGAGATTGAAAGGTGCCACAGCAGCTCTGGGTCTGTCTGTCACTTCCTGCCATTCAATGAATGAGTCCATGGCTGAAATCCAGTTGCTCTGGTCAGGGCTCTTAAAAGCCAAGGGACTTCTGCTCTCAGGCTCTGAAGACACACTTGCTAAGCATCTCTGATTTATTTATTTCTGTTATGGTGGCATGTAAAGGCCCCAAATCAGGGACCCATCTTGTTAGGCACTGAATGCACAAGTTAAAAAAAAGACCTCCATTGCCCCATACAACTTGTCATACTTATAGATGAAAGATGGCACAAGGATGCCACAAGAAGACTGGGAAGGGGGACCTCAGTGGACACATCATAGTCTCTCATCACAAGAAGGAGTTAGTTTTAAAAATTGCTTTGAAATCTTTTTCTCTTTCTTTCCCCCAACTCCTCCCAAAAAGGGAATTGTCTCTGTTTGAGTGTGTGAGCATTTTCAGAGAATGGGAAAAAAACTGCTTTTGTTTGTTTCTCAGTTTCATTTTTGTGGTTTAAAAAAAACGACCTTAGTTTCATATAAGTTAATCAAAGCAATTGATTTTTATGTCATTCCTGATTGTAGCTATACTATATAATAATCAAGAAAAACTTGATTATTATATTCTATTAGTCTTAAAGGTGCCACAGGACCCTCTGTTGCTTTTTACAAGAAAAACTTCTTTTCCAAATAAAATCTATTGAGTAATGTATACTGAGGCAAAACTTAAGCAAGGGGATAGTCTCCATCCCATTTTCTGTTTTAATTGTAAATGTTGCAGCTGATACTGTTATGATTAATGTCTCTTACATACATTTAAGCAAATCTCTTAAATTCTATTAGGATAAAAGGAAGTGGCTGCTTTATAAAATCAGAATTCAGGATGTCTTCGCTGTAGTCCAAACTATTAGTAGAAAAGAACACAATAGGATGGGTAAAACCTTTCAGGATGTTCCAGGAAATGTAAAAAGATTATTTCTAATTGAAGTGAAATATAAATCAGTTATTCAAATCACTTGAGCGATATTTTGATGGAATACTTTATTCAATTAACCTGTGAGTATTATGCGAACGTGGTTTAGGTGGAGATTGACAGAACAACAGGGTAAATAAAACTTGAAGGCTTTTTAAAATTAAATAACTTATTTAAAAAAATTTAAAATTAAATATGAATTTGATAATCTACATTAAGGCCTAACTTACTATAATCTATTAAAATAATTTAAATAAAATAAAAATATTCAGTCAGTACAGGTTTGTTGCCAAAGTTTTAAAGAAAGTCAAACCACTGAAGTGGTGGCTAAGCACCTGGAACCAGAACTTGCTGAAGTGCTAAGACCAGCTTTTGACAGCAGTAGCCTGTTCTGCAGGTACAGAGAGAATATTTTCTTCATTTCAGTTCATTGAACTAGTTTAGTTCAGTAGCTAGCTTATTCAAAGTTGAGACACCAGTTGGGAATTGAAGAGGTAGAAAAACTTGTTTTCCTCTTTCAAGCTATGAATAATGAAGAGGTCTGAGAGGATGAGATCTACTAGTTCTAAAATATTGAAGCAATTAGTTCAATTCACTATAGATAATATTAATTGTTTAGCAAATCAGTTAGCTTTAAGTACAAAATATGTTTTGATAAACTTATTTTATACATGTACCCAACACTTTAAGGTACTTTTATTTAACTAATAAAGAACTAATTTTAAAATGCTCTTTTGTGCATTTTTAATTGCATTCCAATTTCCTTTCCAAATCTAGCTTGAAACAAACCATGAGTAAAAAATTAATAATCTTGTACATAAATGTCATCCACTATTTTCTAACATCATAAAAATGTAAAAACGAAGAATCTGAATAAATATGTATTCATCTGTCTCGATGCTTAAATAAATGTTTATAGTTTTAGTGTATCGTTTTGGTTAGCAAAAAGTACCAAATTTAAAGTAAAGGTTATATTTAGTTGCATATGAACGTGTTTTAGTGGTTATACCAACCAACGTGAATCAACTTTCTTTAGGAAAATAACTAAAAATACAATTACAGAACAAAATCAACATATTTAAATGGAGGTTTCATGCTTGTGACTTAAATCATGATTTAAAATGGTGATTTAAATAACTTTGATTTAAATCAATCCACTCTGGAGAACAAGCCCAACGTTTTTCTTCCTAGTCACTTAAAATAATAAAATCCAAAACAGCCCTTACAGGGTTAATTTCTTGTTGTGTCATATCAGTTGTATGGAGTCAATCTATGCCAGGGGTCAGCAACCTTTCAGAAGTGGTGTGCTGAGTCTTCATTTATTCACTCTAATTTAAAGTTTTGCGTGCCAGTAATACATTTTAACGTTTTTAGAAGGCCTCTTTCT